CTCCAGCCTGGGCAAACAGAAAGACTCTGTCTCAAAAAAAAAAAAAAAAAAGGTGCTGAAACTTATGAAAGAAGGAGAAATAAAAACATATAAACTGGCCGGATGCGGTGGCTCACGCCTGTAATCCTAGCTCTTTGGGAGGCCGAGGTGGGTGGATTACAAGGTCAGGAGTTTGAGACCAGTCTGGTAAACATGATGAAACTACATCTTTACCAAAAATACAAAAATTAGCCAGGCATGGTAGCAGACACCTATAATCCCAGCTACTCAGGAGGCTAACGAAGAAGAATCGCTTGCACCTCCTTCTTTAGTGGAGTTTGCAATGAGCCAAGATTGCGCCACTGCACTCCAGCCTAGGAGACAGAGCAACACTAAAAAAAAAAAAAAAAATATATATATATATATATATATATATATATGCACACACATGCTAGTAAAATGTACTTAAAAAAGAGCCCTCTTTTTTCTCATTTGAACCTTCAAAGAACCTTCAAACTCCTCATTTTTTGTTTCTGTTTGTCCAGCTCACAACTGATAGTTGGTATCTGATAGTCTGATATCAAAGCTGTATCTAGTTTATACTAAGTTTTTAGTTCATATATTAAAATTTCCTGAATTTTTTAAATAGGCTACCTTTTAGCATCATTTAGGGGCTGAGAGGGCAGACTCTGAAACTCTAATTATTAGTGCCTTAAATAAGAATTATTCAACCTTGAAAAATAATGTTCATTTTATGAAACATATGATAATCTCTTCAAAAATTTTCTTCTAAAAGCTGTGAAAATCTCTATAAGCTTACTTTTATTCTGTTAAACATTAGGTTGTAGGTTGTTACATCTTTGTGGCCAGATATATCTTACGTTCTTGTTCGTGCTGAGTTGGTAATGTACCTTGCCCCTTTGTTTCTTTGACTTGTCTGTATTGCCCTAGATATATGTGAGCACTTTTTTGATAAGGGAGTTACATGGCAATAATCTTTGTCTTCAGTTTTGTCAACAAGGCACTGATTAATTTTGTTGGGTATAAGGTTCAGTAATAGGCAATTTTTCTTTTTTTCTTTTCTTTTTTTGTTTTCTTGAGATAGAGTCTTGCTCTGTTGCCCAGGCTGGAGTGCCATTTTGAAAAATTTCAAATCTGGGTACATTTATTCCTTTAGTTTTGTAAAATATAAGATTAGCTGTGTTATAAGTAAAATTTATTACCTATTTAACTTATAAACTCAGATACTAAAAAAAAGTATTGGAATGAAAAATCAGCATACATTTATCAATGGTATTTTATCTACTTTGTAGATTTTATTCTACTGTGGCAAATGAGAAGATAGAAGCAATGTAGTTAATTTGAAAGAACAGGTGGTTGTGTGTTTTGAAACTTTGATACCACATAGAATAATTTCCTTAAGGATAACTGATCATGTTTTTACACTTGTTTTTGAACTCATTGTCCAAATAGAAAAATGATGAAGTTAGGGCAGTGAGATACTGGTAGATAGAAGGACAAATACCATGTCATTCTTTTTTTTTTTTTCTTGAGACGGAGTTTCACTCATGTTACCCAGGCTGGAGTGCAATGGCGTGATCTCGGCTCACCGCAACCTCCGCCTCCTGGGTTCAGGCAATTCTCCT